TATATATATTTGTATTTTATCACCTTATTTGCTACCTCACCCTTGAAATTTTCTTTCCGTCTTGCAACTAATATTGCTAATCACACTTAAAAATATGGAAGGAGATCTTTGTGTATGATTCTTGGAGCAAAAGAACCTTATTTCTTTGGGTTTTTAATTTTTATATGTGCTTGGCTAGTGTTGTTAAGTCTATGATTAATGGCTAGAGGTTGGTAAGTTAGGATTTTTTTGGGACATTTCTTTAAGATTCCCTATTTGCATTTGCATCTATACCCGCTTTTTGTGTCAGGTTTTAACTTGTGTCCGCTTTGCAAAAAAAAATTGCAAGCATACCAGCTTTTTCGCATAACTTCAGCATACGGGGCTGAAGTAGCAAAGACAATCACACAAAACTTCAGCATTCTAGTAGACGGGCCTGAAGTTCAGCTCTAGAGCTGAAATTTTTATTTTGTAACTGGAGAACTTCAGCTCTAGAGCTGAAGTTTTTGAAAGTTCCAATATGGGTATCTGATAAAGAACCTTAAATATTCCTTCTCTATTAAATTTCACAAGTCGATCAAAAGTTTCAGTTGCAGAAAAAGAAAAAAATAATTCTGCATACATATTGAAATACTTAGACCAATATGTATACCTGCTAAGCCTGAATTTGCATGTAATTCTAAAAGGAGTCTTTTCTTCCATTTTCCTTCAAGTATTCAACTATTCAACTACATAGAAATACATAAAAACAGGAATAGACAGTTTTCTTGAACGTTTGTGATAGTTTCCTTCAAGTATTCAACTACCAGACAGTTTGTGAACATTTGTGGTTGTTTGCAAGAAGAAGAGGAAGAAAACGAAGGAGGAGAATGAGGAGGAGAAAGGGGGCTGAAGTTATTTTAAAAGTGGGTACAAGTTAAAAGTTTTTTTAAAAAATGGGTATATGTTAAATGGGGGAGAAATTCAAAAATAGCCAGATTTACAACGGGTCATTCAAAAATAGCCCAGTTTCAAAAGTAATCGAAATTTAGCCACTTTTCATGTAAAGATAAATCTGAGCGAAAACACTGTTCAAAACCCGGAAGATACGCCAGTATATTATACTGGAGTTCCAGCATAAGTATGTGTACTTGAACTCCGGCATATTATACTGGAGTTCCAGGATAAGTATGCTGGAACTCCAGCATAATATGATGGAGTTCCAGCATACTTATCCTGGAACTCCAGTATAATATGCCGGGGTTCAAGTACACATACTTATGCTGGAACTCCAGTATAATATGCCGGGGTTCAAGTACACATACTTATGCTGGAACTCCAGTATAATATGCCGGGGTTCAAGTACACATACTTATGCTGGAACTCCAGTATAATATGCCGGGGTTCAAGTACACATACTTATGCTGGAACTCCAGTATAATATGCCGGGGTTCAAGTACACATACTTATGCTGGAACTCCAGTATAATATGCCGGGGTTCAAGTACACATACTTATGCTGGAACTCCAGTATAATATGCCGGGGTTCAAGTACACATACTTATGCTGGAACTCCAGTATATTATGCTGGATCGGTCTCTGTTGCAGCAAAATAGTGGCTATTTTTCATTGACTTCGTAAACGCTGGCTATTTTTGAATGACCAGTCCGAAAACTGGCTATACCGTGCTATTTTGTCGTTAAATGGGAGCAATCAAATAGGGCGCCCCGTGCAATTTTTACTATTATATATATCATATTCGTAACATATATGTATATGTATTCTTTGAGTAGGCTTATGGAAGCCCAATAAAGTGACAATTTAAAATGGGAAAAATGACATTGTATAGCCGCTCTCAAAATAATAGTCGAAAAATATATAATTTTTGGACATATATACGTTTTGTATATTATATACAAAAATTATACAAATTTTATATACACTTTTTTCAGCTACCGAATATAAATAGTTTCTGGTGCGAGCTAAAAGTGAAAAAAGCCCTTTAAAATGCCCAATTAGTTGTATAATCATGGGATTGGCGAGTCTGAAAATTTTGTCGTGCACAACTGCTTAATTGGGAAAGTAGCTAGCAATTTGGCACAATATTCTTTTTTGTTTAGCGTTAGGTAAGCAGCTCTTTCGACCAAAACTTTTCTAGCTCAACTAATTCCAGCCAACAATTTAACCATATAATAAGCCTCAGTTGCTGAACCATATTACAATATCCTACGTACATACGTTCTTTCCTATCTGATTCAATTGCAAAATGGCTAGTGATCTTCAAAAATCACACGAAGATGAACGCGCAGGAGCAGAAATTGTGTATGGAGCTGAAGAATGCTACCGTCATTCAGTAGAAATGCTACAAGATTTAGGGTTTCCAAAAGGAGTTCTTCCTCTTAAAGATCTTGAAGAATGTGGATACGTTCGCGAAACAGGATTTGTATGGATGAAACAAAAGGCGCCATACGAACATTATTTTGCTGCAACAAAAACCCTAGTAAGTTATGCTATTGAGGTAACTGCATATGTGGAGAAATGTAAGATGAAAAAAATGACTGGTGTTAAGAGTAAGCAACTATTTCTTTGGGTGCCAATTGTTGAAATGAGCATTGAAGATCCTGCTTCAAAAAAGATTTATTTCAAGACTCCTATGGGAATTGGAAAGTCTTTTCCAATTACTGCTTTTATGAGTGAGGAAGAAAAGCAAAAGTACTTAGAGAAAGCAAATGAATAATGGAGTAAAATATTTCCCTTGTTAATTTAGTGTAGCTTATTATATATTTTGCGTACTTTCTTTCCTTGGTGATATGAAGCTTGTTTTTCATCAATTTTCTTGCACACAAACACGGCTTGTATGGTCTTCATCAACTGGTTACTTGTATTTTTACAATTTAAGGTACTATTTTTTTTTACAATTAGTTTTATTACTTGGTTTATTTATTATGCGTTTACTATTTTGTTTAGGTTTTTTAATTATTTCGTGATTGCTTAATTAGTTATTTTTCCGGTTCCTTTATTGTTTACTAGACACTTTTCAAAACAGTAGCCACCTGTCTATGAGACTTTGCATAACATCCACATTAATAATATATATATATATACACATACATACATGCATGCATACATACATACCTGTTTATCGTGTATCCTTGGTCATATGGGGTCTTATTCTCTCTCTCTCTCTCTCTCTCTCTCNACATACATATGCATACATACATACATACATACATACCTGTTTATCGTGTATCCTTGGTCATATGGGGTCTTTGTATGTATGTATATATGTATATATATATATATATATACATACATACATACATACATACATACATACATACCTGTTTATCGTGTATCCTTGGTCATATGGGGTCTTATTCTAAGAAAGCTCTTGTATATATGTTTTTACGTGTTACGATCGGAACCCGGATAGTGCGAAATTTAGCCAAATAATGTTATAATGACAATATAACAATGGCAATTAAAGCATATAAAGAAGATACAAATTTAACGTGGTTCAATCAAAGTGACCTACGTCCACAAGCAGAGAGGAGCAAATTCACTATAGCAACAAGAGTACAAAAGAGCGCACAAAATTAGAGTAAATACTCTAACTAATCCCAAAGTTGGCGAGCTTGGCTCAACGTCAGGAGTTTCAACTGTATTTTGCTCCAAAGTTGGTGAGCTTGGCTTAGAAGGAATGCCAATCTCAACATCCACCTTCTTCTGTGCACTCTTACCTTTATCCATATTACAAGAACTAGAAGACTTTTTTTTGGAATGTAACATGGAGGATTCATCAAAGGTTATATCTCTGATAATATAAATTTTGGTTCCTTGGGATTAGGATACCATAGTTGATATCCTTTCACCCCAAATGCATACTCAAGGAAAATGCACTTTTTAGCCTTTGGCTCTAATTTTCCATCATTTACATGCATGTATGCAGGGCAACCAAATATCTTTAAATCAGAATAATTAGGAGGAGTATCTGACCACATTTCCTCTGGAGTCTTGAAGTTCAAGGGTGCAGAAGGAGCACGGTTGATAATATAACAAGTTATAGAGATAGCTTTTACCCAAAAGGTGTTTATCAATCCAACATTTGAAATCATGCAGCGAGCCCTTTTCATCATCCTTTCTGTCACACCATTTTATTGAGGTGTCATTCTCACAGTACGGTATCGAGCAATTTTTTCATTCTTGTAAAATTCGTTGAATACATTATTACAAAATTTCAAGACAATATTTGTTCTAAGCCGCTTAACCTGGTTTCCTGTTTGCTTCTCAATCAAAACTTTTCATTGTTTAAAATTAATAAAACATCACTTTTATTTTTCAGAAAATAAATCCAAACTATCCTTGAATAATTATCGATGAAAGTTAACATATACCTGGCACCACCTTTTGATGGGGTACGTGAAGGACCTCAAAGATCTGAATGAATGTAATCCAAAGTAGCTTTTGTTCTATGAATTGCTGGAGATTTGAAGCTGGCTCTTTCTGCTTCCCAAACACATAGTGTTCATAGAACTCAATATTTTCGGTACTTTGGCCACATAGAGACCTCTTTTGCTGAGGGTGTAAAGACCTTTTTCACTCATATGGGCCAATTTCATATACCACAATTTGGTGATGTCAGAAGATCCCAATAGAGTATATGTACTAGATCTGCATGCTTTCATGATCACAACAGCACCATGAGAAATGTTTGAAACTCCATATTCACCTATGTACTTACACCCAAGACATTCTACAGTGCCCAAAGAGATGAGATTTTTCTTCAAGTCAGGAACGTGTATAACATCGGTGAGAGTTCTCACCACACCATCGTGCATTTTGATTCGGACAGTACATTTTCCAATAACTTTGCAGGCAACATTACTGCCCATAAAGACAACTCTACTTCCAATAGATTCATATGTGGTAAATAAATTCTGTTTGGGACACATATGATAACAACAACCCGAATATAAAATTTACTCATTGTTAGATTTGAAACTATTATTAGTTGTTAAAAGAATAGTTCCCTCAGTCTCATCTGCAACTATACTTATTTCGGCAGTGTCAGTATTTTTGTGTCAATTTTCTTTTCTGTATGCTTTTCTTTGTTTTTCAATTTAAAGCATTCAGAAATAATGTGACCTTTCTTATGACAGTATTTGCACATGACATTTCTATATCTGGATTTTGACCTTGACTTAGGTCTTTCGCTACTTGAATCTTTTTTATTGGATCTACCTCTTATGAACAAGTTTTCCCTTAGTTCCCACTAGTTTTCCCAGTAATATCTCTATCTATTTATTCTTTTGATTTCAAAATAGATTTGATATCTTTATAAGAGATATTATTCTTTCCATAAAGCATAGTATCTCTTATATGTTTAAACGACTGGGGTAAGGAAATAAGCAATAACACAACTTGATCCTCATCTTTGATTTTAATATCTATGTTACTTAAATCCATAAGAAGAGAATCAAAAGTATCAAGATGTGTAATTATAGAGGTACCTTCAACCATATGAAAAGTGTAGAGTTTTTGCTTTACGTAAAGCCGGTTTTCTATTGTTCTTTTCATATACAAGGTTTTCAGCTTTTCCCATATACTTTTGGCTGAGCTTTCTGCAGCAACTTCACGCAAAACTTCATTTGAGAGATTTAAAATAGTACCTGCTTTTGCTTTTTTTGTCAATGACGACAAACTCCTCGTCCGTCATTTTATCTGGCTTCTTCTCCTTTCCTTACAGTGCCAAATCTAAGCCATCTTGAATTAGGATAGCTTTCATCTTTAATTTCCACATTTTGAAGTTTGCACTTCGATCAAATTTAACGTGGTTCGGTCAAAGTGGCCTACGTCCACAAGTGGAGATGAGCAAATTCACTATAGCAACAAGAGTACAAAAGAACATACAAAATTAGAGTAAATTTAAAATGGGGATCACACAAGTATTTTCCAACACTCAACTCTCTTACAAACAACTCTCAATAAAGAAGGAGAGAAAGAAACAAGAAATGAAGACTCAAGTCTTGTTGGTATATTTAAAATGAACTAATGGCCTTTCCTTTTATAGGCAGAAAAGCCTTGACCTCAAAGCTGTAAAAGAAAAGATACAACTTGTGCAAATGATATTCACCACACAATGCAATACTTTTGGGTCCCAAAGAATATTGCCAACAAATTCTATTTTATAAATATGTTTATGCTTATATGAGATGGACTCCACTAGCCAAAATATTGGTCATATTACATTATATATGTTTGATGAATTTTATTATGAGTAGATAGTTATTGTCGTTTATGGTATCAGAGCCATTAGCGTATTTACACCAAGAAGAAGAAATAAGCGATATCAGATGTCCTCGGCAACCAAGATCAAGGAGCTGATGGCGGAATATATGACTTTGAAGTTTTTTTTAACATATATGTAGCAGCTAGCTATAGTTAGTAGGATTTCGAAACATATGCAACATCACTATTTGTTTGTATAAAATATAATACACCCACAATATAAAATAAGAGAAAAGAAAAAAAAATACACGACTGCCTGTAGCTTTCCGTAATCATTTATTATTAAACTTTCTTCTTCCGCAGAAGAAAAATGAAAATGCAGAATTTAGGAAGTGAAGTTAAAAATTACTTGCTTTACGTGTTTCATTTAAAAATGAAACTGCAGAATTTAGAAAAAGAACACGACTGCCTGTCCGTTGTTTTCTTCTTTGCCATAAAATGTTTACATCTTTTTTCTTGTTTTACCTTTGTCATTAATTGTTTATTTTCCAAATTATTTATCAAGACATTTTAAAATACTATTATTATTATAAATATTATAGTTAAAAATATACTTCATTTATTATTTCTTAATGGGTGCAAAGTCTATTGACAACTAAAAATGAGCAAATCGAGGGAGTATATACTTGTCTTAAGTGATACACAAAAGTACATAATATATAAAGAAATAACAAAGCAACAATTTCAAGGTTTAGGACTTCTTTATATATAGGACTCAAATTCTAGTTAGGCGTCCCAAATGCAGTATACCAAAGCACGTGAGAAATGTGGACTATATGCCATATAGTCTTTATTTCTTTCTCTGCAAGGCTTACTTGTACGTAAGAACCACCATAATAGCCACAAGTACCATTAATGTTGTTACGGCATGAACGTCTGATTTTGCCACCTAACAATTGCTTTTTTCTTACTCCATTTTTCTTGTTGTATCTATATAGAGATGCCTAAAACAACAACAACAACAACCCAGTGTAATCCCACAAGTGGGGTTCGGGGAGGGTAATATGTATGCATACGTTACCTCTACCTCGGGGGGCAGAGAGGCTGTTTCCAGGATAGAAATGCCTAAAACAGAAAGAAAAAAATATTTACGTAAACTAAAATTTCATGATGACCAACGTACAATTTCTACGTATGAATTGTCGTATCTTTAAATCTCGTGCCATGCAATAATAATTAAGGCAGTAAACTAAATTAAGAAGAAAAAGAAAGTAAAGACAAGAGTTAAAGAAACTCTTTGCTAATTACCAAAAATAAAATAAAAAAAAATAGGAGACTGCCCTTGTTTTCTTTTAATTTCTTTTTGTTAATATCCACATAATTAGCTTCCTATTTATTTTCCTCATCAACGTAACGTAAAACTATTCTTCAATCTTCTCGTTGGAAACGATCGTTTTTATCTCTCTTTCACCCAAATCAATTAATTGTACATCTTATACATGGCGGATAAATTACAACAAAATGCGATCGTTTCAAACCAGAAGAGATCGGCTTCCGATGAACATGATCATCGTGACGACTTCAAGCACCACCTCATATGGGAGGATCCAGCGGCGGCGTTAGCAGATATCCGCCACGAATTTGGCGAACATGGCGGAGTCAACATGTCCATCGAAGCCTCCGCCACATTCACCGTCATGGACCCGGAGACTTTGAGCCGCATGTTTGCGGGCGAACTCGGCCCTGACCGTGATTTCTTCATTTATAGCCGTCATTTCAACCCTACCGTCCTCAACTTGGGCCGCCTCATGGCGGCCTTAGAGGGTACCGAGGCCGCCTACTGCACGTCCTCGGGCATGTCAGCTATCGCATCCGTGATGCTCCAGCTCTGTAGCTCGGGGGACCATGTGGTGGCCTCCCGTTCCTTGTACGGCGGGACACATGCTTTGCTCACGCATTTTTTACCGAGGAAGTCTAATATAACGACGTCGTTTGTGGACATTAGGGATTTTGATATGATTAATGAAGCAATTGTGAAAGGGAAAACGAAGGTGTTGTATTTTGAGTCAATTTCAAATCCGACGTTGACGGTTTCGAACATTCCAGAGTTGTGTAGGATAGCGCATGATAAGGGGGTGACGGTGGTAGTGGACAACACGTTTGCTCCGATGGTGTTGTCTCCGGCGAGGTTGGGAGCCGACGTCGTTGTTCATAGTATCTCTAAATATATTAGCGGTGGTGCCGATGTCATTGCAGGTATATCTTAGTATGTTACCCTTTATCATGTGGTCCTTGTTTTCACGTCTATCATATTTCTTCATGCAATAGTTACACGTCTCGTGAACCGTTTTGTATGTTAGTTCCTACTCCCCGTTTAAGTTGATGTGATTCATGGCACGGAGTTTAAGAAAAAAGAGAAGACTTTTGAACTTGTCGTGTAAAATCAGACACATATATTTTGTGTGTCTATAAATCATTGCATAAAGGTAAATTATTTCCAAATAAGGAAATGAGTCATTCTTTTTGGCACAGACCACAAAAAAAATAGGTTCACATAACTTAAAACGGATGGAGTATTTGTTTTCATATAAAGATTAATCATCACTTGCTTTATTAATTGAAAAAGGTACTCCATTAGTTTTGTCCTAATATTGTTTTATTGGACTTACAATATATGTGAGCATAATAAGGACAATATATCAGACATCCTAGGATTCTCTAAATCTTGATTGATAGTATGTGATGCTCGTACGCTTTTTTTCTTTAGACCTGTCAAAGTCACAATCGTGAAAATAACACAGGCTAGTAAGTTTTCAAACGGGTAATTAAAAAATAACTAGCGTTTGCAAAATCATTGAAAAATAGCCATTATTTTGTTGTAATACGGAAAGTTTCAGCATAATATACTGGAGATTGAATTACATGTGTATGAACTTCCAACATATTATGTTGGACAAGTATATTATGCTGGAACTCCAGTTCAGTATAATATACTAGAGTTCCATTATATTTTGTTGGAATATTTTTCGGATTTTGAACAGTATTTTCGTTCAGATTTATCTTTACATGAAAAGTGGCTAAATTTTGATTACTTTTGAAACTGTGGTTATTTTTCAATTACCACTAGTAAATCTGGCTATTTTTGAATTTCACCCCAATCTTACTCCTTAAATATCCATTTCAACTATTTAAATGTTGTTCTAGTCTTATTTTTATTTCACCTAATTTGTTATTTATCCCTTTTCTAGAATATTTGATATTTTGCGTTGAAGTACTGAATTTCTTTTCAATGTCACAAGGTAATAGAATATACAATGTTAATCTACCTATATTGAACAATGATATATGTACTCTAAATTTATAGGTAGTAGGCAAGAGAGGTTGCTCTGATGGTAAACAACTCTCACTTCCAACCAAGAGGTTGTGAGTTGGAGTCTCCTCAAGAGCAAGGTGGGAAGTTCTTGGAGGGAAGGATGTCGAGTTTCTATTGGAAACAGCCTCTCTACCCTAGGGTAGTGGTAAGATCTGCGTACACACTACCCTCCCCAGACCCCACTAAGTGGGATTATACTGGGTTGTTGTTGTTGTTGTTGTGGTACATATAATGGACATTATTGACATAAAATCCTAAATGCTCCTCTATATATTAAGATCAATGTTATAATATGTTGCAAAAATACACAGGTGCGGTTTGTGGACCGGCAAGTCTGGTGAACTCGATGATGGATCTTCGTCAAGGTGCACTGATGCTACTAGGCCCAACCATGAACGCGAAGGTCGCGTTCGAACTGTCAGAAAGACTGCCCCACTTAGGCCTAAGAATGAAAGAGCATTGCGATCGAGCACTCATTTTCGCTACTAGAATGACGAATCTCGGGCTCAAAGTCATTAACCCAGGTCTAGAAAATCACCCAGATAATGCCCTTCTCAAGTCCATGGCGAATAAAAACTACGGCTACGGTGGAATTTTGTGTCTGGACATGGGAACTGAGGAAAGAGCAAACCGTTTGATGAATGTTTTGCAAAATTGCACACAATTTGGGTTCATGGCTGTGAGTTTGGGCTATTATGAGACACTTATGTCATGTTCGGGCAGTAGTACTAGTAGTGAAATGAATAACCAAGAGAAGGAATTGGCTGGGATTTCGCCTGGATTGATAAGAATGTCAGTTGGCTATAATGGTACGATGGAGCAAAAATGGAGCCAGCTCGAGAAAGCATTGTCCGAAATGCAATAGAAAATGGGGCAATTGCAGATATAGCCATTCTCAGGAATGATATTTAGAGATTAGCCAGTAATTATTTTGTCATGAAATTTTAAACTAAAAATCTTAACTTCGGGACACTTCAAAACATTTTTGTCCCGAAAAATTGAACTGAAAAACTGACTAATTCCTAAATAGCAGCCCTATAGAGTGGCACCTGGTGTCATTTCTACACAGAAAATGGCCTTGTAGAGGCCTGAAACTATGCATTTTGCAACTATTGTAATGTTTTGTCACATGGATTTTGCTTTATACATTGGGTCCATATTTATATTTCAGGTGTATTTTATCTGTAATAAGAACTATACTGGAATGTGGTCCGGTTTCGAGTATGTCAAGTTGTTTGTTTATATCCTCAGTTAGCCAATAAGATGTGATTTGAAATATGTATCTTGTAAATGCTTTTCTTTCTAGTCCTTTACATATAAACTTTTCTATCCTCACTAGAACTAAAGGAAAGCTATATTGGGATTTAGGACAAATTATGTAAATGAATTTCTCTGTATATTAACAAGTTCTTTTAAGAATCAATTTGTGCTACCTATGAAGTCCTCTTCAATAGGGAGCGTCAAAATTTCACACCAAATACTTAAAATAAATAATTTTTTTGGTGCTACTATGCAACACCAAATTGGCCTAGCTTAAGTTCAAACTCGAAGGTGTGAAGTTGACCTAAATATCTGAAAAAGAAGAAGGAGAAGAAAAAATAACAACAACATGAACAATCATTTTTTTATATATATCAAAATTGGCTAAATTTATATCTTTTAGAAATTAAGTATATTTTAAATATGGATGCTCAAAGCGGCTTACCGTATCATTTCTACCTTTTATAAGAGATCTTTATATAAATAGCCGATCGAAGTTATTATTTATTATTCTAATCAGTATACATAGATTATTCCATAATTATATACAATTATATATAAATTATACATATAGTACATATTTGCCCGCTATTTTACTGGCTATTTAAGTTAATTCTTAAAGGAAATTTTACCTCCTATAGCAAAACTTTACACCCTATTTATTATAAATAAAAACCCCTTTAAATTATTATTTTCTATAGCTAACTTTTTTATTTTATAGCAAATTTTCTATTTATGGTCATTTCCTACTAGTAAACCGTTAAATTCACTGTCTAATATTTTTCTCTTTCATTCTTTCAGTTTATTCTCTCCCAAAATCACTACATAATATCTTATTTCTCTCTCCACGATCTCTCTCTCCACTCTCTAGGCAACATGGAGACCTAGCAGCTGCCATGGCCGTTTTCAATATTTTTTGCTCCAGATTTCTCTCCCCAGCTCTCTCCTTTATCAACGCCATTGTCTCCCTCAATTTTCAATTTTTTTGCTCCAAAAAGTTGTGGTAAGTGTTAAAGTTTTTGGGTTGAAGACCTACAAGGCCAAATTAGTCGTCATCCCAAGACACGCTCGCAAGGTCAAGGCTGGTGATTCTGCCTCCGAGGAATTGGCTACGACAACTCAAGTCCATGGTACTTATATGGGGGCATTTGTATCTATACCCGTTTTTTGGGTCACGTTTTAACTTGTGCCCGCTTTGCAAAAAAAATTGCTAGCGTACCCACTTTTTTTTGCGTAACTTCAGCATACGGGGTTGAAGTAGCAAAGACAATCACGCAAAATTTCAGCATTCTAGTAGACGGGACTGAAGTAGCAAGTGTGTTGAACCAAGTGTGCTGAAATTTTTGTTTTTGTAACTGGCGAACTTCAGCTTTAGAGCTGAAGTTTTTGTTTTGTAACCGGCGAACTTCAGCTTTAGAGCTGAAATTTTTGTTTTTGTAACTCGCGAACTTCAGCTCTAGAGCTGAAGTTTTTGTTTTGTAACCGGCGAACTTCAGCTCTAGAGCTGAAGTTTTTGTTTGTAACTGGCGAACTTCAGCTCTATAGCTGAAGTTTTTATTTGTAACTAGCGAACTTCAGCTCTAGAGCTGAAGCTTTTGTTTTTGTAACTGGCGAACTTCAGCTCTAGAGCTGAAGTTTTTATGTTGTCACTGGCGAAATTCAGCTCTAGAGCTGAAGTTTTTGTTTTGTAACTGACGAACTTAAACTAAAGTTTTTGTTTGTAACTGGCGAACTTCAGCTCTAGAGTCTTGTTCCCTTCATAATGATACTGTCATGAAAACATGAAAATAACTGCTTTACTGTCACATAAAGCATTCAATAGCAAGGATACCTCATCTTATAACTCTCTAATCGGACCAATTATTTAGATGATTAGTTCAACAACTAAATCATCCAAAGGAACTGCTAATCGATATTTGATAAAGCAAGGAACTGTTTAACAATTTACATAACCAATATGATGCTGCTAATGCCATGCATTATCAAATAGGATCTGTAGCTTCGTCATTTAACAGATCATCTATTGCCACCATTCAATCAAGTAAGGACCTTTAGTCACGGACTTCAGAAAGAGGTTGATGGCGGATATAACTTTGAGGAGGAGAAGGAGGAGGATAACGGGGGTTGAAATTGTTTAAAAAGTGGGTACAAGTTAAAAGTTTTTTTAAAAAAGGGTATTGATTAAATGGGGGCGACCAAATAGGGCACTCCGTGCAATTTTTACGCTTACATGCCTATTGCACGTGAGAAGCCATCAGTTGATCTTGGTTACTGAAGAGATAAAGTCGTTCAATGCCTAAACCCTAAATTTAGTGCTTGTATTCTGTTATATTTAGATATATTTATATGTATTTGAGTTCATACAACAACATTTTTAAATATATTGTTAGTTCTATCATTTTGATGTTATTCATCAATTAGTTATGCACTCAATCTAAGTGTATTCATCTATATTTAAAACAACAATACAGGAAAATACTCTCAATACAAATAGAAAATTAATGAATACAACCAATGAAATATACTCAATAAAGCACGTCTAATAAATCTTCTCATTAATTAGATTGATAATGTTGTGTGTTATAATTGATTTAGGCGAGTTATATTAGGAGTGTATCCATTAAATTAGCATCTTTTCATTATTAAACAACTGGAAAGACCTATTATTACGTTGTATTCATGAATACATGGTATGGATACATGTGAATACAGCGGCTGACAGCTGGACTGTCCTATTTTTTAGCTAATTTTTGCTATTGTATTCATGAATACAGTAACTCGAATACATCAAATACATTACCATAACAACTGAAAGGTAGCTACAGAAAATAGTTATGTATATGATAACTATAGTAAGTTAATAGCCACTAAAAAATAGTTATTTCTGAAAATTCTTCATTCTTAAATGCGTTTAGCTTGGGTTGCAGCCGAATTGACAAGTCAATTTCAGCCAAACTTCGCCAAGTTTGATCAAAATGACTTAAAGCCCCATCCCTTCCGAGCCCAACGGGCATCAGCCGCCACTAAACCCTACCTATAAATACATCTCAAGCTGTGAGGAAAAACGCGAGAAGTTGAAGGAAAAAGGAAGCCGCAGCTCGTAACGAAAATGCAGATATTCGTGAAAACTCTCACTGGTAAAACCATAACTCTCGAAGTTGAATCCAGTGATACAATCGACAATGTTAAAGCCAAAATACAAGACAAAGAAGGTAGTATTACAAAACTTGTTTTTGTGACACATTAGCATCTTCATTTGCTTATTTCTATGATTTTTTAATATTTATTTTATTTAGTCCGTGATTTTGTGTTTTTGTGCTGATTCAGGAATTCCACCGGACCAACAAAGGCTGATTTTTGCTGGTAAGCAGCTCGAAGATGGACGCACCTTGGCCGATTACAACATCCAAAAAGGTAAGTTGTTATGTATTTTTATGATTCAATTAATAGAATTGTAAAATTTAACTAATTTAAACAAAGAGTAAATACTACTTAATTATATTCTGTTAGCTTAAAAGATGAGTAGTCACATGGTTTAGAAACTAGAAATTCATTAGATCTGTTGAAATTAAATAGAGAGACTAAGATCACAGAATTTGTTACTAATTAAGGTCAAATTCATTATGTAGATTTTCGAATGTCACAGTTATGCCCTAACTGAAGTGAAAGTTAATAGTTTTATTTTATTGCATTTTATAAATGCAGAATCGACTCTACATTTGGTGCTGAGGCTTCGTGGTGGAATCATTGAGCCATCGTTGATGGCTTTGGCTAGGAAATACAATCAGGACAAGATGATATGCCGCAAGTAGGCTCCCTACTGTACCTTTTATTGTTGAATCAGTAGGTTTTGTGATAAACATATGAGTAGCTCTTCTTTTGCCTATCTCTTTCGTTATGGTTATGATGTTACTTATGATAAGATTTTGCACTAGTGGTTTGGGGGGAACCTGGCTTGCACTTTTAACAGCTTAAACTTTTACTGAGTGGATAATTTGTGGATTAATTAAAGAAGACAAATCTTGAGTAAGATGATTGTTATTGTTGCAGAGTGTCATATTGGATACTTTGCCTTTAGGATAAGGGGGATGAGAAGAACATGCTGCCAAGTATTTCCCTGAAACATAAGTTTATTAAGCATTAAAGTTAAGAAACATAATTTGTGGATTAAAGCAGACAAATCATGAGTAAGATGATTGTTACTGTTGCTGAGCATATTGGATATTTTGCCTTTAGGAGAAGTGGGGAAAGTAGTACATGCTGTCCCTGATACATTAGTTGATTCATCATTTAATTTATAAGTTATGACTCATAATTTGTGGATTAGAGCAGACAATTCTTAAGTAAGATGGTTGTTACTGTTGCAAAGGATCATATTAGATACTTTGCCTTTAGGAGAAGAGGGGAATGGAGAACATGTTTTCAAGTATTGCCCGGAAACATAAGTAAATTTTCTCTCGATGGTGCTGCCCCCACCCCCTCAAAAGAGAAGTTGTGCTCCATTATTCAAGGTGGACAGATCGAAATAGTTTGCTTAGAAATGACAACTTAAGTGACTGCAGTTGAGTGATAGTAGCTATCACAGCTATTAGTACTAACAGTAGCTGTGATGATTGTACTGAATGCATAAGTGTTTATGATGATGCTAGTGCCATGATTTTGAACTAATGGTTTGTAGGGAATCTGGCATATACTTTAACGACATAAACTTCTATTTGGGTGAGCATTAAGAGCATAATTTGTGGATTAAAGCAGGCAATTTTCAAGTAAGAGGATTGTTATTGTTGGAGAGCGGCTATGTTGGATACTTTGTCTCTAGGGAAGAGTAGGGGTGTGCATTCGATTTATCGATTCGATTTTAACCCTTATCGATTATCGATTTGTACATATGCTTATCGTTATCGTTTCAATAAGGTTTCGATTTTTTCAATTTTGATTTATCGATTTTTGGGGCTTATCAATTCGGTTATCGATTACACCAATAAGAAGATTTGCTGGATTCCACGGAAAGTATATCG